TTTATGCCATATTGTTGCAGATTATTTATTTATTGTATGTAATCTTAATTAATGACACAGAAAGCACATGTGGTCCATAGTTAAGAAATATGCATATTATTTAAAAAATAAACAGTATTACATTAAAAAAGATCTATAGAAGCAGTATTATAATTTCTCTATTCCATACAGCAAGGATGCATGTTTTCAGTCCAATAAACACAACTAAAATGAATGAATAAATAATAAAAAACAAAACAAAAAACAGGCTTTTATTTTAGTTCATTTTTGGCTAAAAGTTACATACTGTGGCTTTAAAGAGACAGTGTTCTACTTCTCCGGGGTAGTAACTGCTAACACATTTTTAGATCACCATGTTACTTTTCATTGTTTTGAAAATGCTATATTTGCCTAAAAACATATATTAACATGTTTTGTATGTTGTAGTTTCATTTTTTATGTTCTGATTCTTCACTCCCTTTGCTCTCTGCGCTAAGTCACTCTCCTTTCAGAACACTATCGTCCCGCGTACATCCCACTAATGAAACAAATACTCATCAAATCAGGTTTGTCGAGTTGTTGTAGACAGTTTTGTATCATGTTTTTGTATATTTATGGAGAATCGTTAGGCTTGTGGGCTGAGGATTACACAGAATCTCACAGCGAACCATAAGGAGGATTTGAAAAGGGCCTAGGAGAGATCGCTGAGTTACTCAAACATGCATGGATGTCAGCTAAAACCGCTTCAGGCATGTTTTTGATGAGGGAGCATTATAAAATGATGTAAACCAAAAACTGCATAACACATCATCTTAAAGTAAAATGATTCTGTGAGATTTCAAAAACACTACAGGCTACAGAAGCAAAGTAAAGTCACGTTTAGAATAATAAGCCTGCAATCTTTTTAATCTCCGTAATAGCACAATCACTATTTTGTTGAGTTGGAAGTGAATAATTATACTACTTATTAACTAAAAACAACTTAAATCATTACTGTAGAGAGCCGGCATTACTTTAGGCCTAATTTGCTAACCCAATAATGTCTGATATAGTGTTACTCACCCACATAGACTTTCCACGGCAGAAACTCAACAAATAAGAAAATTGTTAGTCGAAAAACAAGAGAATTAAACAAAAAAAACACATCTCACATCTTGCTGACAGTTATGCATGCACACACACCGCTTCTCATTATTTAGAAGTGTGATCTAATTCTGAAGAGACACTTGGCCTAGTTCAATAATTGCACTGATTATGAAACATGAAGGCATAATGAACAGGAGATGTCCTTGTACACTGAGGGCACAGACATAACACTGGAATATGATTTTGAGTCTGACACTGTATATATTTACATGACAATCCGACTATTGTTTGGTGTTGGTTATTAAATTTGAGGCAAGTGTGTGTGCAGTGTGTACAACCCCAACAGAATACCACACAAGTTGTTTCAGCCACATACTGGTACTTTATTTAAAATCCTATGCTTTGCTTGTACACTAGGTTTGTCAAAAGTATCAAAAACAGATACTAATCACTGCTAAAGCTAGTATCGAAAATAGATAACCTTTCCAGTATCGATTAACAGGATAAACAGGATTAAATTTGATCTTAAAGGTGCGTTGTGTAACTTTTCTGAGGAAGGGTCTGTCAAATGCTCTTCTCCATGGAGATGTTAATGTTTTGTCTGGAATGTTTCACAGTATGGCATTAAACCTATCTATATTCATGGTGACCAAACAGAATAAGTTACAGGTCAGATCTGTGGAGAGGCGACCCCACTCACAGTCGGAATGTCTGTTTTTCTAGGTATTTCTGAGCTGTAACACCACCAGTAATTGAGTAAATGAAAGGTGTAGAGCTGTTTAATGTCAGGCAGAGCAATGACTTATCCATAGAAACAAGCAAGTGATGGACCCCCAACCAAAAAGTTACATAGTGCACCTTTAACTGAACAATTTTAGAATAATTTTGAACATAACTAGTAAAAGACGACTTGTTAACTTAAAGAAAGTACTATTCATTTAGGGTTGAAAAACGTCTACAAAAAAAACAGTGGTATCATTATAGTATAAAAAAATCTGCATTGAGCCTATTTCTTATCAAAAGTTCAAAATATAAAAATAATATTAAGGGCCTGTTTACATGAGAAGACTTGCAGGTAAAAACGACAAAATATTTTATCTGAAGTGCCTTTCGTTTAGACGCGATGGCGATGGATTTTATCTTAAAAACGCTGTAGCATTTTCATCTACACTTCAAGACACAAAACTTTGATCAGATCTGCTCACATCGCATATGCGTTTACATCACATCAATACAGTATACAAAAACAAACATATTGGATAATTTCCAAAAGGCATCAAAAACAAATGTACAGAATATGCAGAGATACTATCAGTGAACAGAGAAGGATCTGCATTCACTTCTGTCAAATTCTGGATGCACCAGTTCGTCGCAGGTGAGCCAGAAGGGAATGGACAAGATCTCAGAGAACCAGTCGATGGTGGGACAACTTTGTGGAAGGAGTAGCTGATGAAAATGCGTGACATGAAAACTTCCGTATGTCCAAAGATGCCCTTGTTGCTTTAAATACAAGCATACCCAGTCGAATTCCACAAATGTTTGTGTCACCGTATGCACGCAGATTTCCTCCCGAAAATGCTTGTCTTAACGCGGAATAAAAAGTGAAGACGCAACTCCACTTGTGCATCTTCTGTTCAGACCTTCATCATATAAACTTAGCCTAAGTAACAAGATATACATGGCCAATATTTTAAAAAAAGATACAACTAAAATTAAAAGGGGCTCCCAAAAAGGGGGTTGAGGGCCGAACTGACGAGATAATTTCAAAGCAAAATATAATTAAATCGTTACCTCAGGCCTTCCCTTCCCTTTAATGGACTAGAGAAAGCAGTCCATGCAGTTGTCACATGTCAGCTTGGTTATTACAGTTCTTTATACTAGACCAGTCACCTTTTAACAGAGTGCATATGGTCCAGGATGCACCCGTCCATATGCTGACAGGGGCCAGGAGACAGGAGCATATCACACCTGTGCTTGCTCAGCTGCACTGGCTCACTGTCCACTACAGGATTCATTTTAAAGCAGACAGATTATGCAGCAGGGACTTTTCAGAACTTAACTTTTAAACATTTTGTAGTTGTTTCCACTCTCCATTTACTCACTCAAAGTTGTATTTGGAGTAATCTTTCATCACTTATTTTCATTCTTTTTTTTTCAGTCACTTATTTGATTTGGTCAGTGTATAAGTCATAACAGTCTACATACATTATATTCAGTCTGATGTCCATAAAACAAAACAATCTGTTGAACTTCTGGACATTTTCAAGATGCCATTTTGCTGATCAACTGCTGTTTTCACCGCCACCTGTACATGCCTACTGCTCTGTACTTACTAAGTTCTCCAATTTAATATTTTTAATTGGTGATACATGTAGAACTGGACAGCTTTGTGTAACCATTTTAGTACAAATGAAAAAAAAAATACATAAAAAATCTGCATCTCGCTAGTATGATCTGCAGCTATCCATAGGAGGAGCCAACAGCTGCACAGCTCTTTGTTGAGAGGCATTTACGGTGAAGTCAGCTGCAATGAATATAAATGAATATTGCAATTTAAAATGTCCAAATGATAAAATAATGATCCTTGGATGTCATAGATAACTTTATAACACATACAGCACAATATGATTATCTTTATATTTAAATGTCTCAATAGACTGGCCCCCTTCACCTGTCAGAGCAGCTGTCTGTTCATGTCCCTCCCAGGACACTTGGCTTTGCAGACCTGCTCTTCTTGGATGTTCCTCGTACGCACCTGAAAACCAGAGGAGACAGAGCTTTGCAGCTGCTGTTCCGTGACTTTGGAAACTATAAAGTATTTTAAATTCACACTAACATCTCACCTTTATGCACTGGCTTTTAATACAAGTTGAGCTGGTTTCATTGTTTTATTGTATTTCTCTTTATATTCCTATTCTTTGACATTTAGTATTAATATTCTGCGTCTTTTATATTGATTGTAGTTTTATTCTATTATTGTCGTGTACTATAAAGCACTTTGGGCATCATCATTTTTTGTAAATGTATTATATAAGCAAAGTTGACACTGACCCAAAACTGACCATTTATTTATTTATCTTTATTGAACACAGACCATTTTAATCTGGGGTCAGATACAGCTCATAAGACTATTATTATTTTTTATGTTTTATCATGATTTATTACAGAAATCAAAGTAATTTTGTGAAGTCAACCAGTTTTTTTCAATAGCCATAAGTGTATTTTTTGATCATCGTAATCACTGGCATTATTAAATCAAAACTTTTCATACATTCATTCATACATTATTTCTGATTTCTATCTATAATACACTTTATTTCTAACTATTACAAGCCACCTACAACCATGTTTCATAATTTATTTGGTTAAAATGTAGGGTGACCTGACGTTCCTATTTCCCTGGGAAAGTCCCAGTTTTGAGCCTTGTGTTCCCTAAACCATTGATTTATCCCAGTTTAATACAAGAAATGTCCAGGATGTCCCTATTTTTAACCAATCTGATACCAGCCAAAAGTAAAGAGAGGCATAAATTGACATCTGTTGAGGGAAAATACAAAAAAGCTGCTTAAAAATTACCAAAACACAGAGACTCACATGTTAGTAATAAATGGGCAGAGTGCAAAACAATTTTCCGTAGTTCCGTAGTGTTTTTGATTTTGAATATTCGGTCACCTTATCAATAATGTATAAAAAGATTCATCTCAAACCACAATATAAATTACTAGAAAAAAACTAAAATCTGTTAGTTGTGAAGGCCTATTTCCTAGTTTATAATGTTTTGATGATATTTAGTGAATCATAGAGTGATGTTGGCACTAAATATAACCCTTTCTATTATAAATGCAAACTTTCATAAATAATCGATGCATCATGTTTGTGAGATTACCGAAGGGAGCCTACGTATGACGCAAAATGACGCGGTACGCCGTCTTTACGTAACGTCAGCTCCTCGGCCGCTCCACGGAGGCACGCACAGGCAGCCAGGGCAAGGTCGTTTAGCGCACAAGCCCAAGATGATGTCCTTAGCAGCCCGATCGGGGGTCTTTTCCCCGTACTTGCAGGCTACCGCTTACACCGTGGCCGGCCCGCTTAAACCTCTGATCCCGGGTGTCGTGGTAAAGAGCGAAAAGTTCTTAATAGACCCGAAAAAGCCGTTTCTATGCCGCGAATCGTTGAGCGGCCAGTGCGCAAAGACAGGGCCCGCTATCACAGTGTGCATAAATGGTAAGTTTACAAGAGATCGTGAGTTATAATTACTTGTAAATTAAGCAATTTCTCTTTGCTTTCTCGTTGCTAAACTGTAACCTGAGCTGTGGTTTTACCCGAGTTGTTATCCCAAATAAACGAGGCTTGTTTGGGTTAGCCGCAGTTAGCATCGCACGGCTAACCGGCTTTTCTGTGCTGTTAGCTTTTAGCCTGTTAGCATTAGGACAGTGGGCGACCTGCGCATAAGGTCATAATTGTTTACATGTGTATTGTATAATATTCACTCCGTGTTATATGTATGCCATGTCTCGTTTTTGTCTGTCCACCAGAATATATCAGGTCTAATCGGTAAAGGGTGTGTTGATTAACCTGTAGTAACTTGTCCTGACTGTCCTTAAGTCACCTCTGCCCCATGATTGTGAATCCTGCGTATATTCATACTGTACACGTCTACTTCCTGCATGGCTTTTTCTACAATAATGATAATATTTTGTGGATATTTTGTGTTGGTTTTCGTTTCTGTTTATACAGTTTTAGTAGGTGGTATGAATTATGCTGGTTGTAAAGTATTTGCATCCGAGCTTGCTTATCAGTGTTCTGTAAGTTAAGATGCAGTGTGTTTACATTTAGGCCCTTGATAAGTTATAGGCACAGGACCAATCATATTTCCAATCTTTTTTTTTTTTTTTTTCTCATAATGCATCACATTGTAAACATGGCTGGCTATTGCCAAAGTGCCCTTGTTCCTGGGCAGATAACAGAAGGACAAAACAAACACATGACTGATCTACTATGGAGTATCTTTAATCATTTTTATGTTACATTTTATGTGTATGATCTAAAAGTAAGCTTATTTTTATTGGAAAATATATATTTTTATGGATGACTTTCTGTACTTCAACATGAATGTCTAACATTTCTTTTGTAAATCTGCTGTAAATGGACAATGCATTAAAAGACAATATTGATATACTCATTTTAAAGAAATCTGCTTGTATAGGCTTCATTGCAGTTTCCAGAATATAAATTGTACACATTCATATAAAAATAACAGTGCTGAATTGTAGATATTTTAAATGTTTTCACTTGACTTATATCCTCTTCTGTCTTCTTAAGGCCGTACAGGAGTCCGATTCGCCCACACAGACCTGCGCATCCCAGACTTCTCTGACTACAGAAGGCCCGAGGTGCAAGACCCGCACAAGCCCTCTCAGGAGAGCAGTGAGTCTCGCCGCACTTTTTCTTACGTCCTCACCGGGGCGACCACTGTAGTTGGCCTGTACTCCGCCAAGACCGTGGTCAGTCAGTTCGTCTCCTCCATGAGCGCCTCCGCCGATGTCCTGGCCCTGTCCAAGATCGAAATCAAGCTCGGTGACATCCCCGAAGGCAAGAATATGACCTTCAAATGGAGGGGAAAGCCACTGTTTGTCCGCCACCGCACGGATAAGGAGATCGCCGCCGAAGCTGCCGTCAACCTGGCGGAGCTCCGCGACCCAGAGCACGACAAGGACCGCGCTGCCAACCCCAAATGGGTGATCGTTCTGGGGGTGTGCACACATCTGGGTTGCGTGCCCATAGCCAACGCGGGTGACTTCGGCGGCTACTACTGCCCCTGCCATGGCTCACACTATGACGCTTCAGGACGCATTAGGAAAGGCCCCGCACCCCTCAACCTGGAAGTGCCATACTACGAGTTCCCAGATGAAGACACTGTGATTGTTGGATAAAGTCAAGTCATTAGAACTGTTAAGATCTTTGCTTTGAGTTTTCAGTTGGACACACATGGTCATGTCTGTTTTTAATGTGTTCAGCAAGCCTGGGAAAGCAAGTTAATTTTAGCCGTCTTTGACAACCAAAAGGTGGACATTACACCAAAAATGGTGAGCAAGTAATATTGTAAAGAGCAGTGTTGACCGACCATGTATCTCTTCTGTAAAGTTGCAGCTAGATGACATCTTATTTCCAGCTTCCTAATGTAAGAAAGACCCTTAAGTTATATTCACTGTAAAATGATTACCTGAACAAATGAGATGTTTAAGGCTAAATAATAAAGATGTCTATTTTCACTTCATGTCTTCTTGTATTTGAACACCACAAACTTACATATGAAGAGATAACAGGAGAACTCTATAACAAACCATGGCTTCTTAGAAAGATGTATTTTGAGGTTAAAGTTCTAGCTGTGCTGACCTTTATATTGTTTCAGAAGTGGAGTACTTTGGTTAAAAATAAAATGGTGTGCCTTTTATTTAATTCAGGCAGTTTGATGAGGCAAAAACTAAATCACAGTGTAGTGCAAGTCATTCTCAATTTGGAAATAATCTATAGTTAAATGTTATATAATATGTGAATTCAATGTGTTTACTAAAAATACAAATTGCAACATTTAAAGGCCCCTAATAAAGAAGAAAATGGGTAGATGGATGAATCACAGGTTTTTGTGTTTTTTTTTGTTGTTTTAAGTAGGCTATCAATTGGTTTGATGGGATTGTACCTGTATCACAGTTTTAGTTAAGTGACAGTTTGCAGAACAAAGGTTGAGAAGGAATGTACAAAAATGCAGAAAGTAAATGCAGGAACAATGTATGCACTGTTTTTACTCATAAGTATTGTGTAATTGAGAATTTAGCATTATGGTTACTAGAAAACAGGGAATGTCACATCAAGTTAAATCTGTTTTTGTGATTTTAGTATTTCTGAGCTTTAGAGAGTGGACAGACTATTAACAAAGGACTACTCAAGTATGTGTGAATGAAACAAAACAGAACTCCAGGTATGTTTATGATGAGGTACCAACATTATAACATGATTTAAAGCTCACAAGAATCGATTTTATGTAATGTAGGACCTTTAAAAACTGCGAATACGGCTTCACATCACTCCTTCAACCTGCACCATGTTTAATATAGCATTTTAAGTCTCATTCACGCTCAGCCTTAACCGTTAGTAGCTAAATAAATAATTAACTGCAGTAATAATCATCAAAGTGCTTATTAATGAACCACAATTATAAACTCCAGTGTGAATGCTCTGTGGGCTGCCTGCAATGCATGCTGGGATCTTTCCACTACAATTAGTCAACCCCTGTCATCCTTTTTACCTTATTTTACCTTGTTTCACCTCATCCTTCAATAGTCCTGTTTTGAAAGTAAGACCTTTTGATTATATGAAGCAACAATTTTCTTTTCAATGTACAAGCAGTTGGTACTTTATTTTTCTGTCTACATTCATGTGTCTGTAGCATAGCAACAGCTCATCTAACAATATGACTATATCTGGACCTTTTCTGCAATGCTGAATGGACCATGGCGTTTTGATGACTGTTTTCGCTCAACCTATTACAATGGCCAGTGTAATATTGGGGTATATTGTTGTATCTCTTCAGATAGTACACACTGTCCTGAGAAGACCTTGGGAAGAGACTGGAGCTGAGGGGGCATTTGAGGCCATCTGGAAAGTAGGATGAAAGCACAATAAGCATTATCATTATCTCCAGGGTTACAACTCCAGGTTAGGTCTCTGGAGAAGTGACCCCACTCAAAATAAGATGTTAAGCAGTTAAAAAATAATAATAATAATAATGGCATTTGTAACTGAAAAAATCTAAGCTAAGGAAGTCATCTTAAAGAGCCCATATTATTATTTTCTGAGCTATGTTATAATGTTTTCTCATCACAAACATACTTGGATCCTGCGCATTTAGGTCAAGGTCTTCTCTCAAACAGAAAACACTTTGTTCCACCTTGTGATGCCATATGGTAAAACAGGAAGTGCTCCACTTTATACACCTTCCCTAGAATCATTTCAGTTATTACAATTCTGGAGTTGCCCATCTCTACTGAACTAAGGATAAAAGTCAGCTGTTAACTTGGAAACTACTAGTACTTCTTCGTGACATGTTGATGTGAGCTACTTTGTCCAAATAATTTCCCTAATGGATCAATAAAATTAATCTAAGTCTAGTCTAACATCACAAAGTGGAACAGAGCATTTTGAGCTTGGAAGATGTAGCTAGATTTAAAATAAAGGATTACTCAAACATGTGTGAATGAAACAAAACACAACAGGTCTGTTTTTGAAGAGGGAACAGCATTACAACATGACTTAAGCTCACTAGTCAATTTTGCATAATACATAGTAAATGGTCACATTTTTATACAGCACTTTTCCATCTTCAAGGCACTCAAAGCTCTTTACACCATAGAACCACTCACCAATTCATACACGCATTCATACACCAGTGTACGCAGACACTGATGGCTAATTGGGTTTAGTGTCTTGCCCAAGGACACAACAACAGCATTCATTCGTGGGAGCTGGAATCACAGCAACCAACCTGTGGGTCAGTGGATTGAACGCCAAACCAATGATGCTTATGTCGAGAGCAGGATTCGAACCGCCAACCTGCAAGCTACTATCTTAATATAGGACCTTTAAAGTTTCATAAATGTAAATTAAATAATGCGTCGAATGTGCCACAAAAGCCTGCTTATGTGTTTGTATTTATTTAGAAAAAGTGTATGGGAAAAAATGAATAGGAATTGCACTTTCTTACTGCTGAGTTTAATTCTTCCATAGATATATTTTTCCATCCATAATTCTGGTTTGGAGTATCACTGGTTTAAGGATTTCCCTGTTATTGTCAGAATTCATTCATTTTGAACAGTTTGCAGTGGTCCAAAGTTATTTCTCACTTACCTTATGCGTTCTGACCATTCTCATTACATTTATAAGCGCTTTTCACAACCTTTTGCCAACAACACACTTCCTGATTCACGGACAACAAAGGGCCATTACTAATATTTTGTAATGTATTTTCCACATTTTATTCATTTGATCAATTCCCCATCTACGTAATGACCTCGTTCATGATTGAAACTGGTCAGCTATGCAGAAATGAGACCAGACTTCCCACTAATTATTTATCTTGGCGCATTAAAATGAAATGTATACGCGGAATGAAACGTAATTAGATATAAAAACACCACAATTTCAAATCCGACGCCACTGACCCTTGTCATAGAACGCTGCTAATTACAAATCCACGCTTTTATTTTCAGAGTAACTTGTATACTCATTCATGCGTACGCTGATGTATTATTCTCATTTAAATACAACACATAGATTGCTTTGAATAAACACACCATTAAGTCAAATCATGATCAGAAATAATGGGAATGCTAATAGGGCTAGCTGGAGTACCCCCTGGTGCCTGCACAGCCCCATGCAGCTCTGTGGCTCCAGGCTGTTTGTGGACCTTTAACTTGAAATGGCAAATCTATGCAGTTCTCACTCTGCCACACGCCACAGTAGGCCGATAGAAGATATACTGTAAGATTCAGTAGTACGTAAGAATGATGTTGTGGTACAAAGCTGTGTATAAAATAATATTGAAGAATTTGAGTGCCTTTCCTCCTTCTTCCGTTATTGCTTTGCCCTGAATGTTCTATGCTATGACATTAAAGGGACAGATTGGAATTTTGGACATAGGGCCTCATTTGCTAGTGAGCCAGAGTACTGTAGATGTGTGAAGACACTTTTTTGAAATAATCTATCCAGTCTTCGTATTTGGAGAGGTCATTGGTGCTAGGCTAGTGCAAGTCAATGGCCATAGTTAGCCTGCCACCAAAAGCAGTCTTATTCACTCCACAAAACACCTGAACCAAAGCTATTATTACACCAGACTATCCATGTGAATGTCTGTGTCGATAGAATAATTTTAGAAGCAGAACTAACCTTGTATCGCTTGAATCGTCGCATGTTGAGGGACTATTTTCTCAGCAGCAGCGGAATTTTACTCTGCTTCAGCTAGTTGTGATGATATGAACCTGGCCATATTCGGAACAGGCTTCTTTATGTGCTCTATGTGCCGCTATGGTAGCTGCAGGCAAACAAAATATTACAGAGCCGGTAAGATAGGTGCTAGGTGATATCAGTCCGCCACTGCCAAGCTTTTTATCAGGAAGTACAACTCGCTGCTGCTGCTCACACATAAATCCTTCAAATGCAAGGTTAGTTTTACTTTTAAAATTATTCTATCAACACAGACATTCACATCAACAGTCTGGTGTAATAATAGATTTTCTTTGGGTGCTTTGTGGAGTGAGCAAGACTGTTTTTAGTGGCAGGCTAACTATGGCCATTGACTTGCGCTAGCCTAGCACCAGCGACCTCTGCAAATACAAGGACTGGATGGATTATTTCAAAAAGTGTCTTCACACATCTACAGTACTCTGGCTCACTAGGAAATGAGGCCCTATATCCAAAATTTCGAACTGTCCCTTTAAATACAGGTATCTAGCATTTGTTCATTATGGGTGTTTCTATTGCTCAAAAATACAAAAATTCTCTGTGGACAGGGTTGCATCTCTACAGATCTGACCTGTAATGTAGCCTGTGGTTGTCTCCCTTGAGCTAGGTAGGTTTAATCTTTATTGTGGAACATTCTAGACAAAGCAATAACATTTTCATTAAGACAAGCAGGTGGCAGATCCTCCACTAGAAAAGTTGCAGAGTGCACCTTCAAACGTCAATAACAGATGTCATTTCTATAGACTGTACATAGTCATTACTGAGTCTGTTATACCATGCTGTGTGACTTTGGGCAAGGCAGCTGATTGGTCAAATTAATCTTCTTTTAAATATAATTTATAGTTTTACACCAATCAAGCAATCTGTGAAGAAAAGTTGAAAAATGTGTTGAAAATGACAGGAAATGGGGAGTTTTATAATAATGACATCACACTAGAGACAATTCTATCTAAAAGTTTGGCACAAAACACATTTTTCTGATACTTGAAACATTATGTCAACAAACTAAAAGTGTTTTCTTGTATTTTCATCTGTGAAATAATACTTTCTGTGTACATTAGAGGAGAGGAGAGCCTATTGTACAGGATGGTTGCTACGTAACAATTATGGAATTCCCTTGTGATGTCATGATTTCCAACCAGGAACTAAAACTTGTAACCTAAAAAATGGTGAAACTCAGAAAAATATTGTGAGATGTTTAGCAAAATCTGAAATATAAGCATCTTACCTGTGTTAGTAGTCCAACCTGTCACTG